CCAAACTTTGGGGATCATTCCCTCTCTATTTCTACCTATGAAACCAAGTGAACTTACCTCTTTCAATCACAAATATCTTCACTTCCTGCTAAAGATAGATGGGTATTTTTTTCATCAAAAGCAAGATAAATAATTAACAAGCTTTAAGATTATAACAATAACTCAACATGCCCAAAAAATTGACGTGCGACTGATTCCACCGCGTGGTGACCCATTTAGATCATTTTGGAGACAGAACTTCAAATATTGCCCGTCAGGGCCTACCCGGGATGAGAGGGACGCAAAATTCCAGCAAGGAGACTGAGATGCTCCTTATTTCTCCCTAATCTGGAATCAAACTCGGGTCCCCTGCTTGCGACAGCTTCGAAGCCCCTAACCGATGTACCACAGAGGCCGGCAGTGTATTTTCACACAACTACTGTATTGTCGAAGGACGATAAGAACTCACATCACTGGTAACGCCTTTTCCTTCACTTTTCTTTGTTTTGTTCTGTTTTGAAGATTTTTAACCAATTTTATTTTCTTTTGCCATATGAGTGGGGAATGTCAGTCAATCAACTATAGGCCTGGGCCTGTTTTTCTAATCAACTGTCAAGCTGTTTTAACACTCCCTCCCATCACCCCAAACTAAAGACCCCCCCCCCTTAAAAACACGAAAAAAAACCCCAGGTAAGAATTAGATAATCACCCAAAACAAAATCCCGAAAATAGCAAACGGTTAAGAGAGGACGTAATTACAAGTGAAAAGCAAAAAGCAATGCTGCGTTGAAAAAACAATTGTTTGCCATGTGTAACGGTGTGTGTCGTATAGCGTTCAGGCACTTTGTCACAGCACAGATACGGAATACATGTCTAGCTTAATACTATAAATGTTTATAATAACTGTTCATTTATATTATGAATGTGACTGTGAGCCAGTTTGTTAGTGCAAGCACACCATTGTATTATTATGGTAATGTGCACAGATGTGTGCGGAAGAGAGGATGTGTGAGAGAATGTCTATTTGTCTGTGTGGGGAGGGGGGGGGGTACAT